CCATATGGCTCTGAGAAGGGGTCCAGGCAACAGCCGTCTCTGACTTACTTATGCAAGCATGGTCTCCTCTTATCCACAGGGCAGCTTCAGCTTCAGCAGAAGCAAGACTTCAACCATCTTGTCTTTCTAGGAAAGCAAGTAGAAATGTCTGATCTGCCTCCTCTGCCTGCTTTGTTTCTCCACATACTCTGTTGCTGCTGTCTTATTCGCCTCCTGCCTGAGAGGCAGCCCCAATCTCTCACTCCTGTGTGGGAATGCATTCAGCTTTCTGTATTCATTTGCTTTTTAGAGGATCTTTTTCTCACCAATTTAACCAATTACTTTTCTGAACACCACATTTCTATTTTGGCCTCGGACATCTCACAACAATGAGTCAGTGTTAGAACTATGCACAGTGGGGAAAAAAGTACCTCCTTTTGCAGGTCATGTTGGATTATTTCGTTTGGTGCCACCTAGTTGAGAAACAGCGGGTGGCAACCATCTATTCACAGTCTTCATCCTTTCCCAGGAGATGTAATACTTTGCTGTAAAAAGAATTAAAAATACTCTGTAGTACTCATCTCTGAGTATCTTTCCTGTCCCTTGCACATTTTCCAGTTCTGCTGTCTCCTGTCTGGAAAACACAAGAACTGCACTGGTATTCAATGAGTAAACCAAGCAGAAGGATCTTAGTCCCAGCCTCCCAAAGCAACCTTCTGCCTGCGTTCAACCTACAGACCTGCTGCAAGGCAGGAAGGGTAGAGGCTAAATTTTCCCTCATCATGGTGCCTACCTGGTTTCTATTTTTCCCAGTCACCGAGTTCCTTCAAGGTAGCTGAGAACTGGAACAAGCATCAAACTCTCCCCATGAATTTTCAAGCCACACAGATTTACAGACAAATAATGCTTTAAGAACATACAGTTTATTTATACAGAGTTCAGGAAATGTACACGTGTTTAATTGTATCAAAGGCTTTTTTCTTCATTTTAACAACATACAACTGATAAGCATGGTGGGCTTACTTTGAGGCAGCCCTGGGCTAGGGCTCTGATGCACCAGTGTCTGAAAAACAGCCCCATGCCTTTCCCAGTGAAAACTACTCTTGGTTTAAAAGGCTGTAAACATGCTGTGATCGTCCTTTGGGGGGAAAAACAGTGAATTTAAGGACCATCAGATTTCCTTTCCCTTTTAAAAGCAACAGCAGCATGATACTTGAGTATGGACACTGTAGGGTATCAAACAGCAGGATGTCTTAGCAGTTGGCAGGGTACCTTCTAATGCTCCCTCAGTTTTGTATCAAGCTCAGTAGGTTCATGGCTGAACCATCCAGTCCTCAACGCACCACAGATATCTCCTTTCCCTTAATAGAGGAATCCTATGGATGTGCTGAATTTTACAGTATTGTCTGGCCACAGTAAACAGACAAACTGTACACAGCCCCTGCATGGTCCTTCCCACCTTCATATTTCCTTCAGGTCTTTTAATGGGAATGATACAGCATTTTACTGCTGGGACCATGTAAACAGGATATAGTCAGGCTTTGCCTTGTGATTTTTATAGAATTAATAAACTAATTTGAGCTTTGCCTGGGCTTTCATTTCTCAGCAATTTCTTTTATCAATCTTTGCAGGGGCTGGAAGCGTCTTACCTGAATCCGTCTCCTGGCAGCTAGAGGACTGTCATGGTTAGCAGAACCTGGAAGTGGAGGGTAGTTTGTGGGAAACACACTGTTCACCTACCAGAGCCACTTGGTAATTCTGCTGAAGTTTATAAAGTAGAAAAGGGTTTAATTAGGAGAGTTAGAGAGGTAGAGATGTTACAGTCGAAAAAGGAGGAAAAAAAATGTTCCCACTTCCGAACAATTTCTCCCTTTATTTTTAAATTTTTTTGTAAGGTGGCTTTTCCTGGTTGAAATTTATTTGGGGGAATTTTGGATGCATCAAGATTGTGCACAGTAAAAACCACAAAATCTGCCAGATTATCAGTAGAACATTGTAAGGTGCCTAATAAGCACCAGGAAAAGCCAGATAGCTGGAAAGGGAACAAGACTACTCCAATATGTGATGAATTCATGAAAGAGGCCAGAAAGGAAAGCAATCTTTTGATTCAAAAGATAAATGCCACATTGGGGTTTTTTTACTGCTTCAAACGTCTACTGCAACTGTAATCAGCATTTCCTGGCCATAGCAACTACAGGCTTACAAAGGACTTACTGTGCCTGAAAGAGATTATCGATAAAGATAACACACTTGAAAATAACTTGCTTTCCGTGACTCTCATCCAGCTCAAATATTTGTTGCCAAGTCAGCTGAAGGAAAAAGCAGTCAGACAGTTGCTCTGATTTCCCAACAGCACCTGCCTGTCCTCAGCTGGGTGATTGCTTCTGTGTCACTGCAAGGAGAAAACCAGACGCCAGCGAAGTGGCCCAGCCCAGTGGCTGCCACTCAGCAGTGAAAGACTGGAGATAAGAATACTTGTCTGGGGTAGTTACTTAACTTTCCTTAAGTTATCAGCCCAAATCATGAAGAGCTGTTCTACTGATGATACTAGGGTTTTGTATCTCCTGTTGCCTGGCCTGGTTGTAGCCCATACCTAGAGTAACCTAAACACCTAGCACTAACCTCCCTCTCTCCCAGCCCGATCTGTTATCTGGAAGAGCTGTAGCTCTGCCGACGCCTGGATGACCCCTCCATAGAGTCCAGCCTACCCAACCCTTATTTCAGCTGTTGCCTGGCCATCACAAACAGAAGGAAAAGCTAAGTGCAGGCTAGCTTCATCCCATGGATCTACCTTATGCTACCTGTAGACTTCCTTAGCCTAGCTTTGCCTAGCCAAACGCCTCCCGCACCTTTGCCGGAGGCCAGGCCGAGCCTACGCACTGTCCCCTCTAGACTAGCCTTGTTAGTCCCTAGACCAGCTCCACCTGAGCACTAGTCATACGGTCAGCTAGCCAAACCCATGCCCCAAATGTTGTGTTTCCTGGCTTAGCCCTGCTGCAGCAAAGTCAGGCTACAGGGATACCATTAACTCAGCTGCAGTCTGTCCTGCACTTTGCAGCCAGCAGTACCCAAACAAGAGCTCTTCTCCCATTTCTGTGCAGCATGGCCAAGCTCACCTGTTTCTTTCTACCAGCAGGTTTAAAGGAATCTGACTCTGTCTAACAGCTTGAGGCATTTATGGATTAGCAGACCATGCTGTGAAACAGTTAAGTGCTTATTTTATTCTCAGTGAGAGCAATATGCCCAAATGCATCTCTCCAAAACTGGAGGAAAGAACAAATGCCTTGTTGGTATGCATCAAAATTACAGACAGAAACATATGACACAGACTACCAGAGAAAACACACATTCAGAAGAGAACTGCTGACTTGAACCCAACATGAGACTTGACAGGCAGCATGGCCTAAGAAATCAGATCTGAGGAAGTCCCTAGGCTCAAGGTGACAACTCAAGTCTGTGAGTCCTTGTCCAGTGCTCTGAACTGGATACTAATCACTCCGTGGCCTGGGATGTTAGAATGGCCTTAAAAATAAAAAAAATAAAAAAGCAGAATGATTTTATGCCTCTCTCTCAATAGTACTGATGGCAAGTCTGAAACACGGCATCAGGGAAACCACCAATGATTCTTCACAGGGGGGAAGAAAACACCACGATTTCTCAGACCTGCAACTGGAAGTTGACTTTGGGTGTTGCAACCTGGCATTTTTATACAGACTTTTGTTTTTCAGACTGAGAACAGCCCTATAAATATTGCTTAAAGAGTGTGATATGCTGAATCCAAACCTCTCTGAAAAAGTTGAATTTATGTAGATGACAGTAATCTTTCAAAAAGCTTGCATGAAATTTCCCATTGTCATTAGTTGAGGCCCATTCTGAGATGGGGAACAGGAAGAGAAGGGCACCTCAGTTGTCAATGACCAAGCAGTTAAAAAGCAATAAACACTTCCAGCCTTATACAAGATGTTCAGACTGCAAAACTGGGAGGTTAGCTCAGCATAGTTCATGCCAATCCCACAACAGTGTCTATTTCACAGCCGGTCAGACCAGGTTTTAAAATGCAAATTTAAGTCATACCTTTCACCAAAGTTCACAAGGGGTCACACCTTCACTACTACACAGGCATATTTCACTGGGAGGACGTGAGGAATATCCCTTTGAAACGGCAAAGGAAATTTTACTTTCACTTAAATTAGAGTCTCTCCCAGAAAAGCAGAGTTATGGATTTTTACTTATTTGTAAAATAAAACTGGAACTCTGTCAAAGACCAGCAGTGTGGAGGTCTCATCTAAAAAGCCTGGCAGGTGCAGCAGCCTAGGGCCAATGTGAAATTTTATTTGTTCCAAAATAGCTTTTGGAACAAAACCCAAAAAACGAGCAATTTTGCTAGAAATTAGTTTCTTCTCTTTTCCCCATGAATACTTAGGTTTCATTTTGGGCTTGAGGGAACTGGAAGAGATTTGGCAGAAAATAGAAAACATTTTCATGGGGAATACAGTTCACATTTTCATGTGAGCAAAACACATCATTAACAGAAACAGCTGAACAGTCCCTACGGCACCACAGGCCTTCCTAACACAACTGCACCTCCACTTTCCCATCAAGCATTGGAGCACACACAGATCCAAATGCCCACACCCAGTGTTTCCAGCAGAACACAGTTTCAGGAATAAATTATAAATAAATACAGGTAACATGAGTATTAATTCATTAAAGGCTACTTTAGCCGCTACTCAACTGACAGACACTTCAGCCTCTGAATTCGTCCATGTTTCTGAAATCGAAAGCTCAAAGTCAAGAAGTGGAAGTACAGAAAAGGCTCATAAATGCACTCTAACTGCCTGGGATTGGCAGAAATGGCATATGAGTATAGACCCAAGAGAGCTCAGCAGTCTGCTCAAAAGTAAATCAGCGTCCAGGTCCTCAGGAAGACACTGGCCCTTGAGGTGGGAGCAGCCCCAAGACATTGTCACTCTGGGTACACAGAGGGACCCCATACTAAATCCAGTTCTTTCTGCTAGGTGCTACATCATAGCTATTGCAGAGTCCTCAGTGCTGCTCTCCTGCTCCAAGCCCACCCGGCGGATGGACTCCCTGTATTTCTGCCGTCCCAGCTCAATGATGGTTTCGACCTCATCAGCAATGTCCTGGCGGCCACTCTCTTTCATGGCAGAAATCAACTTGCTCACACAGTCAGGGTCCTCCGAGTTTTGCTGAGCCCATGAGAAAAGCATGTCCAAGATCTGCTTATCAAGGTCCTCTCTGAAGAAAGGGGAAAGCACAGAAGTAACCAACACGCTCTCCTGACTGGCAACCCAAAGAGGCCTTACCTGAGTCCTAGCCTATGACTGGAGCCCAAAAGAAGCCATCCAGACACACAAAGCGCTCAGTGGACCTGCCTTTTCCCCACCCATCATACAGGAGTTGCAGTTCCTGCACTAAAATATCTCTAGAAATTTTTTGCCTAATTGAAATATCAAATTAAAACATTCTGCTTTTGAATGTAAATTCCCCACAGCAAGAGTAGTTTGGTCATAACAAGTCTCATTCTCTCCTACTGCTCTGACTTTTTGGTCAGACTGCATGTCCCATGACATACCATAAGCTCTTTTTGAATAAAGATGATATTCACAATTAATGCCATAGACCATTGCTCATTGTCAGAGATGGAGTCTGGCCAGGAATCCAGATCACAGAACAAAACAGGAATGCGACTCATCTGAACTACAAAGCTCATCAGGTTTGTTATTTCCCAATTTTGTTTTTCAAATATAAAGCTTTGTTTTATAACGACAAGAGAAAATAATCAGGTTTCCATAAAAAAGGTAATGTTTTGAGAAGAACCATTAGTCAACCCATCTTTTATCCAGTGAAACAATTCCAGTGGGAAAACTTTCAACCAGCCAAGCATTAATTTATACTATTACACAGATAGATAGACAGATAGATAGAAAGAAAGAAAGAATGCATCACTGTTGATCACTGTGTCCTATCTTACCTGTTATTGTATCCTATGCGCTCAATCTGCTGATAGGTCAAGCCCAGGTTCAGGCCGATGGTCTGCCAGTCAGCTCCCACACGCCTGGCAATGCTTAGCAGGTTTGCCTGTGTCAGGTAGCCAGTCTCGGCGTTGCCCAGGTTCAAGGGAGGAAAGGAGAAGCCATTCAGGGTACCGGGGTTCTCACCCCAGCGGGGTTTCAATCGCTGTGTCACAGAGAAGAGAGAGAGAGAATATGCTAAACAAATTGTTTTTGTAGAAGACAGTGTCTGGCCATTCAGTCTCCACACTGAAACTTCCTTCCTCCTACTGGAGAGGAAGGAAGATCTTGGTGCTGAAGAGTCAGGCTGTGAGAAGCAAGGAGCACTCACACTGGCAATGACGAGCAATGCTCACTGCCTCTGAAAAATATCAAATCATAGTGTTCACAGTCAGAGGTCACACTGGAAATTTCCTTTCTTGTCTTTACAGAGCATTTTTCAATGAACCATCTCCTCAAAGCATATTTGCCTCTGCCATAAGAGAGCACTTAGCCTAGATTTGTAATTGAGGTTGCATGTGTCAGAAAGGGATGTGAGGTCATGGCATATGATCTGAAGGGAAGCATTCAGTCTACAAAGGTATTTATTGTTTTAAGCTTCTCAAAAATCAATTAAATTCCACAAGCAAAAGCTGCATTTCTCACTGTAACATACAGCCCAGCCTTTAAAGGCCAGTGGCTCACACCATCAACGCCTGTATTCAAATCCAGCCTACCTACCTCATCTTAGACCCTTCTTTTTCCTGCTGCATGAGCTGTGGGACTAAGAAATTTATAAACAAAACAGACACTTCCCTTAATTACAGCGAGCTTCCTCCTGTTCTACATCCCTCATTCAAAGGACCCACCCCCTCTGACCACCCATCCAACAAGCCTGTGCTTGCTAGGCAAGATAAGCAGGAGAGATGGAGACCACTCCCAGCTATTCATGTTTCTCTTTCCAGAAGAGCTCATGAGGAGTGGGAAATCTCCACCATGATGTAGTTGGGCAGTCACTCATTGCACTCCTTCTCGTGGAGGAAGACAAAATTAGCTGAGCAGGAAGCCTGTGCTCTTACCCCATCTAGATTAATTTTTCTGTAGGAGACAAAACAACTCACAGGCAGTTTGATGGGCAGAGTAGCGAGCCAGAGGGAGTCTGGTCCTTTCCTCCTCCTGCTGGCATCTTCAGGGATACTCTCGGGAACTGCTCCTCGGTAGAAAGAGACCTTTGCAAACAGAAAGCATGTGGTGAGGCTCAGATTCAAGCACAGTGGCCAAGCCTGTTTGCACCATGTCTTTTCTGTATGGGAAAGGGTG